CTATGATACAGTCTCTGGTGGAGATTGGGCAGCAGCAAATTGATATCATAAACATTGTCCACAGTCAGTTGATTAGTGCTAATGTTGTATTGAAGTCATACTTGAATGCAATTTTAGTCTCAATATTTAAATTAGCGTGGTAAACATTATAGGGAAAGTTAAAATCAACGAATGTACAAATATAAAACCATTATATCTTCTATCTGAAGCAGGTCTGCTACAGTATTTACCACAGTTTATCAATGAGTTTAACAGTATGCTGCCGTAAGATGCTGTAAAATTTACTGTAGCAAATATTATACAGTTGAAGTATGAATTTTTAGCCCCCGTTTATTTTTGTCCCCAATTTCTGTTTAACTGAGATTTCTTCAACACATTTCTAATCATATTAGCTTTAATAACTCATTTCTAATAACTGATCTATTTTATCTTCGCCATGATGACAGTAAATAATATTTGACTAGATGTTTTTCAATACACTTCTATACAGCTTAGTGACATTTAAGGGCTTAATTGGGTTAATTATGTTAATTAGGCAAGTTATTGTATAACGATGGTTTGTTCTGTAGACTATCGAAAAAAACATAGCTTAAAGGAGCTAATAATATTGTCCTTAAAGGTGCAGTAGGTGATCTGCCAAAATGCTAACCGCTTAGCATATTATCTTTGGACGGCAGGGAGGGACTGTGATTCAAAGCCACGCCTCCTGAAATAACCAACACGCGCACCGCGTCACAACAGCAGACAACCCCCTAGTTCATGTCATTCGCCAGTTAGAAATGTAACAGTTAGTCAGTGTTTGGCCGGCGGCGTGCAGGAATTACATTTATTACTAAGCCACACTTACATGCTATTGCAGAGCGAGTATTCAGAGTAGCATGGTAAACAGTATAGGGGAGCTGTCATTAGCTATGTTTCCATCCACCTATTTTATGCGCATTTTGCAAATGCGCATAAAAAAAACCAGTTGATGGAAACGCCATGATGCGCATAAATTTTGCAAATGCGCATAAAAACCAGTTGATGGAAACGCCATGATGCGCATACATTTTGAAAATGCGCATAAAAAACGTATGCACCTAACTGGGTAGGATAAACTTTTTATTCGATAAGAAAAGATGCGCATAAACTGCGATGGAAACACTTTTACCGCACAAACTCCAGCATGCGCATTAAAAAAGGTCATGTGATTTTGTTGAAAGAGATCATGTGATGCTTAAAATGTGTGTGAATGGACAAAACGTCAGGCTGAGCACATTATAAAACATCTGAAATGTTGTTTTGGTCATTATAAAACGCCTTACCGTTTCAGTATTATTGTTATTATATTATTAATGACCTCCAGAATCAAGAGCGCCTGTGCTCCGCGTCTGACACCTTCAAACGCCGCTGCGCGCTCACTGCTTGTCAGGATTGTCTTCTGAGGCGCGTTCATTTAGAAAAGATTGATGCAGCTTCTCCTACTGCAGCAAATGCAGTTTTTACTGTTGATATTTGGCGCTAGTTAATCAGGAAGTGACGATTTTGTTCAATTTGACTCGTTGGATGGAAACGATGCTTCATTCGCACAACTTTTATGCGATAATACAGTTTTGCGCATAAAGTTTATTCGCATTTTTGGATGGAAACATAGCTAGCGTTCAAAAGTGACCCAATGCAAATATAAAAGCAACTTCAGCTCAGTAAAGCAGGCTAGGCAGAATAGCGCTATTCACTGATGCTTTGTCGTTAAACTAAATAAGAATATACATTAACCATGCTGTAAAATGTCCCTTATGAAACTGGAAAAAGTTCAATCTTTCGCCTGGAGATTTCAGAGGCTGAAGAACACACATGTGCATATCATAGCCTGTAAAATATAGGTGCATAAGCCATTCATAACACAACACAATCTAACATCAGCTGAGCCAGACTAAAATAGTTTTAAAACAGAACATCACCTGTCTAACAGTAATACTTCAGCCATGGTGTCGTCCAGGGGCGGACTGGCCATCTGGCAATTCTGGCAAATGCCAGAAGGGCCGGACCAATTTTTAAATGTGCGCCGGTCAGTTTTTTTTTTTTTTATGTATTGTTTTTACGTGGAGGCAGCTTTTATCTCTTGCTAGATGTGATATTATGATGATGATGATAATAATAATAATAATAATAATAATAAATGTTAAGCATTTTGACCAATATGCAACGGCCGCCTGATTTCAAGATGGGCCGACCCAATCCGAGGTTACTGTAATCAAACCAATTACGTTACGTTAGCAATTTTTAACGTAATCAAAATCTGGCAAGAATGTCATATTATTTCACCATCTGTACACCAAAATAAATAGTGAATGTGCGTGTCCGTGGGTGGGGCTATGTCGGTGTGGTTATGTGGACTGATGTGGCTACAGTGCCAGGGCTGAATTTTTGTCCCAGTCCGCCCCTGGTGTCGTCCCTCCTCCAGCGTGCTAAAGTAACTCCAATATTGATTTTCAAAAGTTTCAATTCAGCATTTGATTTCACCGCGTCTGTGATTGTCTTGTGAACGCGCGGTGGCGCTTGTGCAGGCGTGCACACGCGAATGGCGGATCTGCGTGAAAGGAGATGCGCAGAAGTCCAAATCTGCATTTGCTGACAGACAGTTTGAGCTACTTATCGAAATTATCGGCCCAACAATATTTAATTGGACCAAGTTTTTTTAGTTTTATGCCTTATCCAGAATACAAAAATACATGTAAACGATAATGAAAACACATGTAGATCATTTACTTTAATCAGTACTATTGGACTGTGAAGAGACTTTCAACCACAACAACAAATAATGTTTCTGAAGACAATCACCTACTGCACCTTTAAAATGGTGTTTAAAAATTAAAAACGGCTTTTATTCTAGCCGAAATAAAACAAATAAGACTTTCTCCAGAAGAAAAAATATTATAGGAAATACTGTGAAAATTTCCTGAATCTATTAAACACCATTTGGGAAATATTTTAAAAAGACAAAAAATCAAGGAGGGGCTAATAATTCTGACTTCAACTGTATAATATCATTATATACTATAATAAATCTCCTATGGTGTTTTTCATGTGGGTTCAAGGAGGACTGCTAAAGCAGAAAACAAGAACACAGAATAAATCTCCAATCTCTCGGACTGGAGAAGGGATCAGAGTGGCAGTTTCTGGAAGATCTAAGCACACGCACTACTGAGCAGCACTGTGTATAACTGACACCGATTGTTTATTAGGTGAGTACCAGGGTAAATGGAGTGCTGCACTCAATATTCTGTCGTCTATTTTTGGTTCAGTGAGTTTTAACTGTATTAACTGTAGTGCCGTGAAACTCAAAACCACGCAGATGGATCTTATTACACTTTTCCAGCTGATCACATGAGCTTTCTGCACTAACACGAAGTACATAAGACGAGCTGTGTGTAGAGTTCAAACTGTATCTATTATTAATTAATATGCATATAGTGCAGGCTTTCATTTATGCTTGCTGAATGAAGGCTAAATATTACACACAGTGCTCAGCATAATTCAGTACAACCTGCTTTGAAAATAAATACTTTCCTTCATTTTTAAGTGAATAGGCAGTGTATTTTGGTGAATTTAAACAAAACAGATTTATTAAACATATATATATATATATATATATATTAATCACCAAACATATCATGAAATTGAAAGATAATACAATTGAATTCAAGCAAAATATTGCAAAAATAAATTACAACCTACAAAATTTCAACTAAATATAAATATTTATTTATTTATTTTTTTGCTTCTCTTGATTTTTTCCTCTTTTTAAGTTTGTATTTAATATTTTTCTCTAACATATCCATTTGGCTGTGCTAGTTTTCGGAGCATTATCGTAAGTTATTTTCTTAGATAACTCTTCAGTTTTGGCTTCAGTACTGACATGCAGTCAAATATTTCACCGAACAGATCTGCCACTTTTGGCGCTCATAAACAGTCATAAAGCCCTCGTGCTGCAGGAATGAGGAGGTCTGCTGAAGGTGCAGCTGTCGTGCAGTGAGGGGTTTGCGTATTTAATAAACTACGGCAGTTTGCGTTCATTGAACAGTAAGATTGATTAATAAATCCATATGAAACAGTCTCTTAAAAGTCACGTCTCGCTTTCAGTTTCGGCCCAAAAAGTGAAGCCCAAGTGAACCGCGCTCAGGCCCACCTCTTCCAACAGGGCCAGGGCCGGCCAAGTGAACCGTGCCTGAACCCAATTCAGCGCACTCACACTTCTCAAACGATCCGGGAAACGGGCCTGGTTCGGATAGCATAGTGTGAGTGCGCCCTAAGACAAATAGTGCTCATATTATGTACATAAAATATGACACGTTTCAGCAATCGTTCCATAATTAGGAAACAACAATAAAATACAAACAAAAGTTCTCGAAATTATAATGGTTTCATAAGTAAAAAACACAAAATATCCACTCCCTTAAAATATATATATTTTTTTAAATAAAGAAAATATATATTTATAAATATATATTGAAAAAATAGTTGTAAAGTTGGCTCTATGTAAGTAGGGAAATCATATTAGCAGCAAATGACAATCAAAGTACAACATTGTGCACAGTGAGTTAGATAGTGTTAATGTTGTTTAGAAGTCATACTTGCATGCTAATTCCAATCGAAGATTCAAAATAACATGATTAATAATATAGAGACTGTTAAATGAACGATTGTGCGAATATAAAACCAACTTTACCTCTAATATTGTAAATATCTCATTCAAGGACATGATGTATGCTGTAGAATGACTACAATTATTTGGGTATTTTATCACTAAAAATTACCTTGAACATTAGTAGGTGATAGAGGTTTATTTAAAAAAAAAAAAAATATATATATATATATATATATATATATATATATTTTAAGTAGAAACTTTAAAAAAAAATAAATTACCTGTAAACTAGATCGACATCAAGACCGGTGTAGATAAAACGTAAACTTTAAAACACGGACTTTTAATTTGAAACGTCAACGTTTGGACTTCTATTGTGAAAAGCGTGTAATGGCGGCCTGGCTCCTACACTAGTGTGTACACATGGGAAATACAGCCGATTTGCTGCATTTATCTGCAGGATTTCAGGAGTTTTAAATTATTATTCATCCGACCGTCGATTGAAGTCTTTTCTCAGGATTATTATTCACAATAATAAGGTAAAGACTTGTTGTAAAGACTGTTTAAGCTGGATTTGCTGTGGTTGCGCTCGCGACTGAAGGTCATCATCCACTGAACATGAATTATGAACACATTATTGCAGATATTAATATTTCTGACTGTGTGTGTGTGTTTGTGCAGCATGTCCGTGTTTGGAGGATTGTGGAGGAGCGCTGTAAACTTGTGTCAATCTTCGAGACTCTTCAGCACAGGTCAGACATCACCCGTATTCATAACATATAAATTAACGTTACATTAAAATATGAGGTAAACTTATATGAGAAGGAAGTGTGAACCACCTCCACTTGTATGAGGTAAAGCTGGTTTTATATTCGAACATTCAGACGTTCTGCTTAATAATATAATGTCAGAAAAGTATTCTTTGGAAATTCTAATTAGTGTAATTATATTAGCAGTCAATGACTATCAAAGTGCAACATTGTTCACAGTCAATTACATAGTGCTAATATTGTTTTAAAGTCATCCTTGCATGCTATTTCAGACTCAATATTCAATATAGCGTGGTAAACAATATATGGGCCATTACATGAACGAATGTGTGAAGATCAAACCTACTTTACCTTAATATGGAAAACAGACAATGACTTTAATCCTACTATGGAAGTCAATGGCTGCCTTTTCCCAGGAGTTCTTCAGTATATCTTGTTTTGTGTTCATAAGAAAGAAACTGAGTATGAGTGAATGGTTAGAATTTTTATATGATATAGTATAATTTGATGTAGGGCTGCACAATACGTCGTTTCAGCATCGATATCTGCAATAGTCACATGGCAAGATCTGCAAAGTTTAAGTTGAGGTTATAATAACCAGCTAATTAAGCTAAAGTAAATTTTTGTATTAATAATAAATTATATTTTAAAGATTTTTTATTATTATAATTTTTTTCCCCTTAAAACAAGCTGAATTATCTGCCAGTGGGATAAGGAAAATAGTCTTGTTTTAGTTTGAATTCAGTTCCAAATAAACAATTAAATACAATAATCTTTCTTACACTTTCCAACATGATTTTTGTGTCCAAAGTTTTCAAACTCTCTTGAAATCCTCAATCAGAGACCGTAAAAACACATGCAAATGATAAAGTTTCACTCTATTATGGTCAAACTTACAAATCACATGTGTTCTGCAGCTCCTGATCACCTATAATCCAGACTCTCCATCGCATACCCTCTGATAATGTGACTATTGCAGATGCGCACATTGCGACATCGATGCTGAAATCATCTATTGTGCAGCCATATTGCAATGTCAGATTTGTTTTCCAGTATCGTGCAGCCCTAATTAAATGCATTTATTTTGCATCGTCTGTCAGGCTCCTGTGCTCGAATACGAATGCACGCCATTCCCAAACTCAAAGAAGTGGACCGCTGGACGGAGAAGAGGAGCATGTTTGGGGTTTACGATAACATCGGTATTCTGGGTGAGCTGGACACATCATATCAGTATTCATTATGGTCATGCTTTTATTTTGCATTGCGGATTTATCAAATGTTAGTTTTAACATTCAATGACACGTTAATGGAATCTTTTAGTATGAATAATAGCTTATTGTAAGTTTAACCACTTGAAATGATTATTACTAATTTTGTAGGTATAATATCAGACTCAAACTCAACTTTATGATCTCATTTACAGCAAGGTGCCGTAACACAGGCGAAGTTCCATGTACACATTAACAAAACATTACCACACAACATGCATCTTTAAGGTGCATCTCCCTCCCCGCTGGACTTATTTAATGACCACCATTATAGAAGAATTTCTAGTTCTGCAAATAGGAAATCTAATGATGCTGATGGCAGCAGCTGAAACAATAGCTGTTTCCATCCAAAAATGCGAATAAACTTTATGCGCAAAACTGGATTATCGCATAAAAGTTGTGCGAATGAAGCATGGTTTCCATCCAACGAGTCAAAGCGAACAAAATCGTCACTTTCTGATTAACTGGCGCCAAATATCAACAGTAAAAACTGCATTTGCTGCAGTAGGAGAAGCTGCATCAATCTTTTCTAAATGAACGCGCCTCAGAAGACAATCTTGACAAGCAGTGAGCGCGCAGCGGCGTTTGAAGGTGTCAGACGCGGAGCACAGGCGCTCTTGATTCTGGAGGTCATTAATAATATAATAACATTAATACTGAAACGGTAAGGCGTTTTATAATGACCAAAACAACATTTCAGATGTTTTATAATGTGCTCAGCCTGACGTTTTGTCCATTCACACACATTTTAAGCATCACATGATCTCTTTTAACAAAATCACATGACCTTTTTTAATGCGCATGCTGGAGTTTGTGCGGTAAAAGTGTTTCCATCGCAGTTTATGCGCATCTTTTCTTATCAAATAAAAAGTTTATCCTACCCAGTTAGGCGCATACGTTTTTTATGCGCATTTTCAAAATTTATGCGCATCATGGCGTTTCCATCAACTGTTTTTTTTATGCGCATTTGCAAAATGCGCATAAAATAGGTGGATGGAAACATAGCTACAGAGTACAGTGGGTGATCCAGGGTGCATAGGATACCCTGAGCTCTCTTTAAGACATGATTATGGTGAATTAGCATTGGTTAAAACTGATGATCTTGCCTGCCACCTTCATCAGGCTGCTCAACCCGTTCTTGTTTAACACAGTCAGATTACCGTACCAAGCTACACTGCAGAAAGACAAAACAGATTCAATAAATTGTTTATTAAACAGCTTTATCATAGAGGTACAAACCTGAAACCATCTAAATTTCCTCAGAAAAAACAGTCTTTGATGAACTTTTTTATAGACAGCCTGTTGAAATGTCAACATATTGTCAATAGCGACCCCTAGATATTTATGTGTCTACAATTTCAATGTCCAAGCATTTAATACTCCACCTTCCTATAATCTATCACCATGTCTTTTTTTGTTTTATTTACATTCAACTGGAGAGAAAATCTATTACACCTGGGGCCTGTTTCAGAAAGGAGGTTAAGTTTCATTTTATTGACAATGATGTATTGTATTTATTGTACTGTAAGTGTATATTGTATTTGTTATAACTGTTAAATGTGTTACTTCCTGCCCAGGGACTACAGATGTAAATTAGCTTTATAGCTAACTCTGGCACAACATGTCATGTTGTACATTGTCCCTGTATAAATAAACAAAAAGAATAAATAAATAAAAATAAACTGTGAAAACTCAGTATTTTAACCCTGAAATGTGAGAAACTCTGGGTTTTCCGTTTCAAAATGGCAGGTTTGTCAAACTGGAGAAAACAGGGTAAGTCAAGCCTGTTTCTGAAAGAAAGGTAGCTTCAACTCAGAGTCAGTTACTGTGGTCACTTACTCTGTGAACCTAACCTGGTCAGGAGCAGGTTTTATTCTCTAAACTCGGAGTTTCTGTCGGTCTCCTCCCCTTTTTTAAAGACGAAGGGGTATTTCGCACCTTAGCCTTACGTTTCCACCCATTTATTTTAATGCTCATTTTGGAGATGTGCATAAAAACGATTGATGGTTAGTAATGCTATTTTTCATTGCACAACAATTAATCTGTCAGGCTTTTTGGCTAAAATTGAGAAATCACGGTTTAACTTGTTATTATTAGATTATTTAAAAATTTCACCTCTCCTGCTGAGCATGAGCTAAGCTGTTGAATGGTCAGTGTATGAGGCAGCTAGGCTACGCTAGCTTCAATTTTGATTGAGTTATTCTCTAATCGGTTGCCTGTTATGTGGTGAATATACTCCTGTAATGCATACTGCAGTCCTGATTTGTCTGGCTTTCTCGGATATCTCACCTGTTCGCCAAAAATGCCATTATATCACTGGCAATGTCTGACACTGACGCTTACACTTTGTAAAAGCCGTGCCAGGCACGAAAGCTTGAAAGGCGTAGCAACAGTAACTAAGGAGGGCGGGCCTTAGGGAGGGGTCAATTGGTCAGTTGTAGTGAACTACATCATTGGAAATGATTCTTCTACATAGGAATTGTTATCCGAACGTTAATGTTTCTGTTTTATGTTGTTTATAATTGTTTCAATAGGCCAAAATAAAAAAATGTCGAACAGCTTTTATAGAACGCCCAAGTTTTTGCTTATAAAGGGGGGGGGGTTAAAGTTAAAGAGTTGCATGATTAAGAAGCGTCTCTGTCTGTGTGTGTTGGTCTGCAGGCGACTTTAAAGCTCACCCTAAAGACATGATCCGGGGTCCGGTGTGGGTGCGCGGCTTCAGAGGAAACGAGCTTCAGCGGCTGTTGAGGAAGAGGAATATGGTTGGAGACCGCATGATGACGGAGGACCGACACAACCTGCAGAAGAGGATCAGTCACCTGTACCGCCGCTTCAACAGACACGGCAAACACAGATAAAGAGAGATACATACACACACACACACACACACACACACACGTTCATATGAAACAGCAGGGGGCCTGTATTACAAAAGATTGAGCTTGAGTTCTGTACGCTGAACACCACCACACCTGTACTGATACACACTCATTCATGTGTTGACAAATGTTCATTAAACTGTAGAAAATGGTGTGTATTACAAAATATTGAGCTTGAGTTCTGTATATTAAATTGTTTATTAAAATAATTAAATTATTAGTCATAAAATCCACCACAAACACAGATATATAGTCACTACCTATCAGTGTTTGTGGTGTGTTTTATCACTAATATCGAACACACACACTCATGTTGTAGATCTGGGGTCCGTTCTTCGTACGTGGATTACTCAGTTAGCTGGATTTGAATATTGACGATTTGACATGATCCAGGATTGTTTCGTTCTTCAAAACTGATCTGAGAGTTGTTGTCATAGCAACAGTTCTGCTAGCTCAAATCTGGTAGGAAGCAGGTTCAATTCATACAAACTGGATTAGATCGGCTCAGTTCAAGCAAAGATAATACTGAAAGTATGTTTTGGATTCTGATATTTTCTTACAGTAGTAGTTATATACACTTGGGAAAATACACATTTTTTAAAACTATATAAAGTTATAGTCATTAATAAAATAAATAAAGTTATATATATTAATAAAACTTATGGAATCTGCACCCCTGAAATGAAAGTACAAAGACTGCCACCTGGTGGTGCAAAGAGAAAACTTATTGATATGAACTTTTTAGATCGCTTCAGTACAGTTTGTGTATGGTTATAGAAATGCACAATATGTGACTTTTTAAAAGCAATAATACTTTTATGCAGTCATGTTTTGACAGATATGACGGTGATTTGATGCTTCAAAAAAATTGCAGATATCTAACTGCGTTTGTAAACATCCAGTTATTCTTTACACCAATTAAAAAACGGCTACTATAATACTACTATGGGTACTATAATAAGGAAAATCCGCTCTAACTGTAGAACTGAATAAACTGCTCTTAACACATGAAAGGGTCAAGCATGCAGCCCACAAGGTGTAAAGTTATTGCGTATCATATTTAACAAACCGTTTCTAATTAATTTGATGTAATTTTGCTCACATGGATAATTGAATATTAATCAGATGATGTCATTACGCTGCTGTGCCGTCAGCCAATCGTTTCATTGCTGATCATTTCGAGGATCGATAGATCTGTCCTTCACAACACACGCAGCGATCTCAGATCAGTTCATTCAGACATTTTAATCCGATTCACGAACTTGTTTGAAGAACCAAATTAGCCAGAGATCAGTTATCAAGGTTAAAAGATCCAGGATCTGCCAAATCATCTTAGATCATTTAAGCGAGGTACGAAGAAAGGACCCCTGCTCACTAAACAGCACTGTCAGGAGGCCTGTATTACAAAACATTGAGCTCGTGTTTTGCATGCTGAATTAAAAATGTTTGTCAAAGTGTTAGTCAATGACTGCCTCAAAGGCTGTTTCTGACACAAATGCAAAAAGGATTTAGCCTCATCATTTTATTTCCTAATTCTGACACACACAAACATTGCAACGTATGAACAGCATAAGCGTGAGGAGAAAGTCCTGATACAGGATGTGAACAAATTCAGACATGTAAGGACTTTTTTTTTTTTTTTTATCCTGTGTTGTACAAAACAAAAGTCCCGCAGTGACTGACTTCATGTCAGAGGTGTTGTTTCTGCTGATCAGTGAGAGAGTGAGTTTGGACTGGGGAATCCACTGAACTGAGCCTCCGTCATCACCGGCTGCTCCGACTCAATCTGTGTGAAGCAAACACACATTAAAACCAAGGTGTTTCCAAAATGCCCAAACTACTGTTGTGTTTTGAAACTATACTATGTCTGAATTAAGTAACATGTGTTCATTGAGGGTCCTGTGAAGTGCTTGGAAATGTGCATTTTTTTTAATTCAAAGTTTGATGTAATCTCAAATGAAAGAGAGGGCGGGACATAGAATAAAAAAGCAGCCAATAGCATTTGTTTTTCTCACAGCTGTGCGCCAGTGAAAGTGGTGGAGCTCAAGCGCATCAAATGAGAAGGGGGCGGGGCATGTGAGACACTAGAGAGCATTTGATTGGTCAGAAGATTTGATGAAAAACTGAAGTATGAGGTGACCTGGAAAAACTCAACTATGGGGTAATGGGTTAAACCAGGGGTGTCCAAACTCTGTCCTGGAGGGCCGGTGTCCTGCAGATTTTAGCTCCAACTTTCAACACCTCCCTGGAAGTTTTTGTATACCTAGAAAGAGCTTGATTAGCTGGTTGAGGTGTGTTTAATTGAGGTTAGAACTAAAATAAGCAGGACACCAGCCTTCCAGGACCGAGTTTGGACACCCCTGGGTTAAACTAATGACCAAATACTGTAGTTTATCCATGGTCTGAAACAGACGTGACCTGTGGATTAATACATTTTTTACTGGTAGATTACCTAAATCTTCTTAGGCTTTCCTGTAAATTATAATGACGACGGAAATAGAGGGGCTGTAAAATGTGTCTTTTATTAGTTTTTATTTTTATTAGAGTGTTCCTTTAAGATAAATTCACATTGAAACCAATTATTTCATTCGGTGTTCAGGGGATAGTTCACCCACAAATGTTAATTGTGCCATTATTTACTCGTCATATACGCGTTTCTTTTTTTAATCTTCTCTTGAACACGAAGGACAATGTTTTGAGGAAAGCTGGAAATCCATTCCATTGACTTCCATAGTATTTGTAATTCCCACTAAGTCAATGGTTAGAACATTCTTCAAAATATCTTCCTTTGTGTTAAAAACAAACAAACTCAAAACTAATTTGAAACAAGTTAAAGGGCACCTTTGATGAAAAATTAACTTTTAAAGCTGTTTGGACAAACATATGTGTAGGTATAGTGTGTAGACAGTCATATTGTGGTGATATAAACACACCCAGTCATTTTTTAAAAAATTTTTATTTAACAACATAAAAACGGTGGACCAATTGGAGTGGTTTTCAGACCAACCACAACTTGACATAGGAGTGTGGTCACCTTGCCCACCGAATTAATTGACAGCTGCGTATTAACGTCTCTCTAGCAACGTGTATAATCATATCAACAAGACAGGACGTGCGCAAAGCAACCGGGAATAAAAGGTCTGTTCAGTTCGCTAGGATCATCAGTCACCATCAAATGTGATCAAGAAGAGTGAGTTTTACAAGTTTAATATGTTTTAAAACAGAGCATGTGTGTAATGAATTACAGCGATTTACTTCAGCTTTACTTCATCAGCACAGCCGCATGTCTAAAAAATTATAAAAGAAGACGCTTCAATCCCGGTTTGTGGACGCTCAACCAGGATTATTTTGTACAATAACATAACAGATATCCACACAGCAGTGGAGATTAACCTGTATCCTGTCACATATGCATGCAAAAAGAGTGCAAAGCTAAACACGCGCGCTGTCTGTGTGTGTGTGTGTGTGTGCATGAACTTTATAACTACATTGTGTGTGACTCATCGATGCAACTCCACAACAAATACTAATTGATCAAGCTCTTACTGTAGTATGTCTCACAAACATTACGTGAGATCTGCTTCCTTCATGTCTGTCTGTTGTCTGAGGCAGCCGAGGGTGGAGATTAATGCATGACAGGCACGCGGGAATAGTGGGCGGGGAGGACTAGCCTTAAAGGCGCAGTACAAAAAGAGCAACAGGCTGTTTCGAGCTATAAAACAGAAACTTCAGACAGCTATAATAAATAATCTGATTGGTGTTTTGAGCTGAAACTTTACAGACACATACTGTAGACACAAAAGACTTACATTAAATCTGGAAACAGGGGTAACCTAGGTGCCCTTTAATAAATGAGTAAATGGTATTTTTGGGTGAACTGTCCCTTTAATATTTACCAACCGCACTGTGTTTTTAACCAAATCAATGCAGCCCTGGAGAGTTCAGGAGCAGTAAAATCTTTAATAGTCTTTATTTATGTACCTGCGTGTCTCTGTCCTTTTGGAGCCGGTGTCTCTTTCTCTTTGCTCCTCCAGTGGACTGAGGTGGAAATGTTGGAGAAGAGACGTCTTCATCTCCACCGAGAGCTGACTCTACAGCCTTCCCTTCATCCTGGACACACACATTCAACTCGGGTTTATTTGTGTAGCGCTCTTTACAATAATTACTGTTTTAAAGCAGCTTTACAAAAGACTCACATTACATGATTGCAATTAAATATAAGTTATTATATACAGACACAGTCAACCTGCAAATTTACAACATATAGGTGATGTCTGTGTGTACATGAAAGGTTTATACCATAACTTCACTTCTAGATAGAGTTTGTGATGATGATGCATATATGCATATATATATATATATATATGCATCATCATCAATACAATGCCAGAACTTTTAAACATCTCACGTTTTTTACATTTGGCTGACAAAAAATGGTCTAAAAATAATGTTATAATTCTCTGTTTTGGTGCAGTGATGATTAATAGTCAGTTTTAAATACGCAAATCTAATACATGGTCAAAAAAACTGCAGATAATTAATATATTTAAACAAAGCTGCAATTTAGAATGATTGAAAATGAATATGCAACATGGTACTAGTGTGGTGTACCTAATAAAGTGGCCAGTGAGTGTATATACACACAATAAAGCTTTGCCGGCAACGCGGTAGCGCATTAGGTAGAAAAACTGCCTCACAGCAAGAAGGTTGCTGGTTTGAGCCTCGGCTAGGTCAGTTGGCGTTTCTGTGTGGAGTTTGCATGTTCTCCCCGTGATCAAATGGGTTTCCTCTGGGTGCTCTGGTTTCCCCCACAGTCCAAACACATGCGCTACAGGTAAATTGAATAAGCTAAATTGGCCGTAGTGTGTGTGTGAGAATGAGTGTGTATGGGTGTTTCCCAGTAATGTGTTGCAGCTGAAAGGGCATACGCTGCGTAAAACATGTGCTGGATGAGTTGGCAGTTCATTCCGCTGTGGCGACCCCAGATTAATAAAGAGACTAAGCCGAAAAGAAAATGAATGAATGCATCTTTGCCTGATAATATTATTTAGTTTGTTAATGTCTTATACACTTCATCAAAAAAGGAAGGTAACGATGGAGAAATATTACATCTCTTTTACTCTAGGTACAAATAGAAAAGTTACACTCAGGACATTCTTGGTATGC